ATTGAATGTGTGCAAGTGGGGTTCGGATGTGATTGGCATTACTGGTAAAGGGTACTTTAGTTGGTTTGTTGCTTTGTTAATGATGTTGAATGTTTTAATGTTGATTATTTTTTGTCCAAGAGTTTTTGCTAGTTTGAGTTTTTGCCTGATCATACCAGGTAAAACATGTGCTATATATGTCAAGGTTCAAGTCATCATGTTGTTGTTACTGTTGTTAATGAATCTTCTGAATCAAGATAAATCTATCTAAATTCATAAAGTAACTCATGTTTTGACCAACTAATGTTATGTTTGTAATTTATATTTGCAAGGTAATATATGGTAATTTATATTTTCTTAATTAATATATGTCAAGTGATATATTTGCAAGATAATTTATTAATTTAAAACAATTATAAACTAATAATATTTTTGTAACTACTACATTATACAAAGAGTTAAAGTGGTGTTAATTTTCTTTTTGATATTCAAATTGTTCATTCAGAATACTAATCAAACAATCATCTTTCTTTCTTCATTAAATTATATAGTGTCTCATAATCATCATTCTAACAATAGATAAATATACAATAATAAATAAGTAAAAAATATAAATCAAGAATCCCCAAAAAGAATTCCTTCGATATTTTGTAATAATTACAAGCATGCAAGTAAAGATATAGATAAAGACAACCTAAAAAGAAAACGCTTATATTCTATTCGAGACAAATAAACAAGACTATTCCATGCAAATTAAACAATGTTTATTTCATAGCAACTTAAAAACTCAACAACTTTATGGTTGTACAGTTTTTTAGTAATATTTTGTTAAAATCGGTTTATAATGCAAATCCAATATTATTTTAAATCGAGGATTTATAATTAAAATATGCGCATTTCTAACATTTAATTTTTTAGATCTATCAAGAATTTATTTTTAATGTAATAAAAATATTATTTTTATTATCATTAAACCTATTCATCGTGTTTAGTAATTCGTAGTTTATATATTCTTCTAATTATTTTTTTAGTAACACAAAAGTATAGTAAAAATGCTAATATGATTATATTTATTTGATATCTTTTTCCAATCTCTAAGGAAGCTTTATTCAAAAACATAACCTTACAAAAAAAACTAACGCCTTGTTTGTATTCATAATAAAAACTTTTATCAGTATAATATGTCTGATTCGTTAAAAGGCAAGACCGTTCAAAGTGTTTGTTTTTTCCTATTTTTCGGAGACACTCATGTCTTATTTTCCTTTTATTTGATAAGAGGTAAACCAACATCTTATTTGCCTCTTATTGTTCTTCAAATTCTCAACAACGACGTTTATCAATTGATCCTTACCAAATCAATCTTCACCTCTCTCAATTAATGTATTTTAATAGGATGTAAATGTATTAAACACCGTTAATGGTATATTTTTGTTTAAATGAATGTTAATTATATAATTTAAATGTAAATTTCATAATGATGATGAATAAATATGTGAAATTGTATAAATTTATCTATAAATTCAATACTAATATTTTTAATGGGTAAAATAGACAATTAAAACAAATTCAGGCATCTATTAGTTTACGAAAACAAACATATTTACTGATTCAAATTTCAGACTTCAGCACCACCTCTTATAAATCAGAAGTGAAATAAAAGTTCGGACTTCAGCACCTTAAAAAAACAAATGTCACCCAAATGAGCATACTGACACACCCATTCAAAGAGTTAATTGTCGATTCAGAACATACTTTAAAAAAAGAGACAACAACGACATATCATTATATTTTATAACAAAATTACCAAAATAGAATACCCCAAGTTAAATTGTAGTAATTAACGTCAAGTACTATTATAGCTATTTGACGGTTTGAGGAAGACTAGCTATGACATCAAACCATCATCAAGATTAGAGAAGGATGAAATTTAGAGTTAATTATTGATTTGGTCCCTGTGGTTTGATGATTTTTACAAAAATCATCCCTAAACTTTATTTATTACAGATTAAGACTCATTGTATATCGTTTTGTAAGGAATTGGTCCTATCCTCTGATGGCCATCCAGTTACCTCATTAACCTCTCATTTTCATCATGTTTTCTTCTTTTGTCTTACTCGAGAGACCAAATCCGTAAAAATCACACAAACCATAGGAACCAAATCAATAATTAAGTCCAAAAAATAAAATAAAAATCTTATTTTTTATACTTCTAGTTTATTACATTAATTAATTATTATACTTTAATATATATATATATATATATATTAATTTATTATACGTTAAGTTTAATTTTAATATATAATATATTTTAAAAAAAATATATACATTAACATACATATACACACGTGCTTACCCGTGTATACATGCTTTCACATACACACACATATATGATGAGGTTCAGTATAAAATGATATCTATCAAACATTATATTAATTAATTCAAAAAACAATATAAACAAATATATATGTGGATCTTTTAAAATCAAAAAAACATCACCTCCTATTTTTTATTCAAAAGAAAAAAATATAAACAAATATATATATATATATATATGTATGTATGAACGAAAAAATATATATTATTATAAATTTCAAGTTAATGAAAAACATGTGATTGTTTTTTTGGTATAAACTATTTCGTCCGATTTGTGTTTATATTTCATTTTTTGAACTAAAATTGGGGGTGAGGTTTTTTTAATTTAAAAAATATTATTATAAATGTCCATTTAGTCATATCCCTATGTAATAAATAGATGGAGAAATTCTAATAACAATTAAAAATATATATCTTAAAATCTTGTTTTAGACAATTCTTTTCTATATATGATCATCTTCAATAGCCTCTCTAAAACAAAATAAAAATCGTGAGTTTTTGTTGTTTAAATTGCTACAACATCTTTGCTCTTTAGTTCCTTAAAACAGAAAAAAATGTTGGGAAAGAAAAATGATTATTTTATTCAATTCCAATAATGAGATTGAGTTATTAAAACATTTTTATAAAAGGTATTTTTTTAAGTGTATTGTGATGATAAACTAGATAATATTATAATAATGTAATTTATATTAAAATCTCTAAAATAGATATCTATTCTACATGTTTTTTAGAAAATTTAAGTTTTAGTTCTGAAAAATTATAAAAAAGTTGTTGAAAATGCTCTCAATTAGCAAGTTATAGCACTTCTTTAAACATTGATTAATGCTTATTTATCAATAACTTTCCTAAATTACAAATTTGCAAGTAAATATTTTTTTTATGTCCACAAATTTTTAAATTTTTTAAAACCTTGTAAAAATAACTAATGATGATTTAATATACGTATTCAGATACAATATAATCATTTAGTTCGACATAATACCTCGATGGCTGATGGCTCCATCATTATGGTTTTTAATTGCCAGAATAAAACTATTTCATTTTTATATCATAAAGTGTTTAAACTGTAATAACTTTTTTAATTAGCAAGTATGTGAAAAAGAAACTTCTATATATATTTTAAATTAACTAGATATGTTTAAGAACCACTTGTAATTTATTTTTTGTTTAATTAAACATAAATTTTGGATTTACTTCGTAATAAGAAAAATTGCATTAGTTTTTCAATTTTCTATTTACAATAGAATATTACATATATCATACGAGTACACAATTAGTTTAAATTAATGTTGACAGATCACTACTTGCAGGCTTGAGGAGCAACCCAAATGAGGGATAATCGTCAATTTGTGTCTGCTTCTACCGGTCCAAGCCACCTGCTGACCTCACCTCGTGTTGACGAACAAGTTTTATATTTTTCTTCTTGCTCCGACTCAAATTTTATCAAATATATGTTAAAATAGAGAAAAAAAAAAAGAGATGATAGAAATATTTAAATTTGTAGAAATCTCTAAAACTCCATATTTAAGAGAGAGAGATAATATGAGATATTAACCACAGAGGTGGTGTCTGATTGGTTTGAGCTTGGCTCCAAAGGTCAAAAGTACCATTAGATCCCAAGTTCAAATCCAAAGAGGAATAAAAATCTCCTTGTGGTCACGGAAGTTCAAATGCGGTGACTCTGGGCTATCTGCAAAGCAGATGTTTGCCCTGTGATTAGTCGGCTCGCATAGCGGGTTGGATATCCAGGTTAATAAAAAATAATAATAATAATATGAGATATTCAAATTAAGTGTTTTTACTAGAGATTAGAGATGGCCAAATCAACCCGGCCTGGCCCGGGATTGCCGGAGGACCGGCCCGGCCCGGGACCGGTAAGGACCGGTTATGGGACTGGAAACCGGGACCGGTTGAGGTTTTTAGTAGTTTCGTGGGACCGGGACCGACCGAGACCGGTTATGGGACCGACTATGGACCGGCCCGGCCCGGCCCGAAAATTCAAATAATTTTATAAATAAATGTATTTTAAAATAATTTTATAATGTATTTTTATAAGAAAACATAATTTTAATTATATTAAAACGCATTTTTAAAGTGTATTTGAGTGAACCAATTGTAAATTTTATAATGTATTAAAAATATATATCATTAAAAAAAATCTTATTTTTTAATGTAAGGACGGTTGGGACCGGGACCGGCGGCCCATAACCGGTTATGAAGTACCTTGACCGGTCCTATCATTTTCGACCGGGACCGGTTACGTCAGGACCTGTTATGGCAGGTTATGAGAAATGTTAGGACCGGTTGGGACCGGTTTTTGGCCATCTCTACTAGAGATAAATAATATTATATTAAATGTAATGAATATTTTAATATTATAATTAATGATATAATTGTTAAAATGTTTGAGTTGATTGTAATTTTTTTAAGAACTTTAACTTATGATAATCAATTTTATAAAATTTATAATACATGTTACAAATCTTATAATGATATTATTATTAAACAGAAGAAAAGATGAAAAAAATAATGTCTGATTATTAAGCTAACAAGATCAGATTTTTAAATAAAAATGAGTAGATAAATACAAAACCTGATAGGGTTCTCGGTGATTGTGACTTATAAATACAGATAAAGAATCTTCATATGTGAGAAGCTATTTGGAAAAGAGGAAGAGATCTCGAGAGTTTTCCCTAAGGTACGTAACCTAATCTCCTTTCTCCTCCACTTATCTTGTCTAAAAGTTCTTGCTTATATAAAGAAATAACATCAGATCAAATGTTTTGCTAAAATAATATTTCTGAAATCCTCGAAACTTCTATTAACAATCTTTGTGAGGCGTCGATATCCCAATCCTTTCTCTAAATATGTCAAGTTAAGTTTCCTGAACAAGTCCGTTTTTGAACAAAGATCCCAATTTAATTTCTTTTTTTCACAAAAGCATATCAAATTGGTATATTAGATCCGATTGAGTTCATTCTCAACACATTCAGATCGTTAATGAGGCTCTTATACAATCATTTAATAGATTTTCTTTTATTTTTGTTAAAACACATGATTTTGAAACCTGCAAAGAATTCAGAAGATCAGTACAGCAAAAAGAATACTCAGTGTTGTCAAATCTGTGTCTTCAATTCATTTGTGAAAAGATATTGCTCTGGCAACCTTTTTCCACAATCTGTGTTGACTTACTGGATCTACAATTAGAGAAATTTGTGGAATAGGAAAGATAATCTAATGAAATTCATTGATATGAGTATTATTGAACTGTTTGGTGTAGTAATGCTGACATCATAAAGATAAGTGACTAGACTGTTTAGTTTATTTTCTCTTATTAGTTAGACAACTGGAAATAGAATCATATTTTCTTAATAATATGTTGTATTGAACTTGTGAGCAACTAAGCTTTCTAGTTTCCTAGCTTGTTTACTTCTGATTATCTGTGTGCGTATTTGTGTTTGAAATCATACATTATTACTTTGATACTTCAAAAAGATCGGATGATATATATGTTGTTTCTAAATTAGATCAAGTAATTATTGTCATCTGTATAATCTGTGAACTTACTCCTATTACAATATATGAAGTTAATTTGCAAGTGAAGTATTTCAACTCTAAATTTGTATGTCTGAACTCAGTAAGATTCATGCCTCAATAGGAAGTATAACAATATTTCGAGAAAATCTTGAGTCCTACATAGAATTCTATAGCCAAACCATTGGCATTGAATTGATGTGCTACGGAAAGAATTGATTTTGATGTTTGGGAATATCATACTTTGTTGGTCAAGTTTGATATTCTTGGGCACCGTCTCATGCATTGAGGGAACCATTGATGACATAGGATACAGAAGATTTTTGCATATTGGGGAAAATGAATTATTAAAATATCAAACCATGCTAATTTTCCAGCAAAGGTACACATATGTCTTAATCTTGACCTTTTGAATTATGAAACTCTATATTAGTCATCAAATCTAAATAAGATTTTCTAGGTGCATGCAAGGTTTTGAAAGCTGTTTTCATTTATTTTCTTAAAATATTATTTTATCAAGCTAAAATAATCAGTACCTAAAGATTGAAGGCCAATTCTTCGAATTTCTCTCCATTTCTAATTAAGTTCACATATAGCCTTCGCCCTAGCTAGTTGTTGCTTTCTAAGCTTAATTTGATGTCAATTTATTTTAATATTTTGAGTTATATATGTTTGGGCTTAAGTTGTCGGCAATGAGAGATTTCCAAGGTGTTGTTAGGATTGAATTAAGCATTCGTACTTATTAGCATTTTAGTCCGCTTTAAATTTGTTTTTAATTTTTTTTAAGTTGGAGTTGTTAGGAATGAAGCAATAACGCTTATTAGCATTTTAGTCAGCTTTACAACTTGTTTCTAGATTTTCTTTGAGTTGGTGTTGTTGGGATTGAACCAGTGACACTTGTTAGCATTCTAGTCAGCTTTAAAATTTGTTCTTACATTTGCATTGAGCATTTGAGCTGTGCCTCTCACAAGTTTTACAATTAAGTTGCTAAGCATTGATGGTCTAGTCTTGGATATTTTGAGGACGTATACATATTTGTTGTTTATACAGTCCTTAAACCAAATTTTCTGGTGGGTTGTTAATTACATTGCGCTAGATTGATTTTGTAGGAAGAGAATAACTAATCATAAAAAATTATAACAGCTTAGTACTTTGGATATCTATCTAAAGAGTTTCGTTTTGCTGCAGGCCCTTAAGCATTGCTGCACGTGATATACATTAAGCAAGATAAGCCAAACGCACTTATAATGGATATCCCTTCCATGGTATGGTTACCTGAGCTGGTAAGAGTTGATAGATCTTGAATTATAGAAATGACTGGTAGATTATTCTTTGCAAAGCAATTGCAGTTTAATATGTTCTTCATGCATCATTATGTATATGTATTAGATACCAGTTTGTTCTTATTTCTTAATGAGTGGAACTTCAGGGTGTATAAAACTACTCGCAGTTGAAGCTATTGTTTGTGAATCAGTAATATATAAATCTATTAAAGAGAAAACATAAGCGATTATTTGGTGGGAGAAAGAAAAATTGTGCTTCTACATATAGCTTAATTAAGAGAAACTATTTGTGATATACATGTACTTCTATAGATCAGCATTTCCTTGAAATTAACACTGGATGAACACAAAAAATAATAGAAACCTGTCTAGCAACATTAATCTTTTATACGGAAGGACGCACATGATCGGATGAGACATAGTATTTATTGCATGCATATACTCAAATGACTATATCATATACAGATATTGATCGGAGTCGAGTGTCATTATGGACCACAATTCATGGATATCAACATGATAATTTAGTAATGAATACTCCCATTGACTTGGGCTCACATGAGAAAAAAATATTTTTGATGAGAAACATAAGAAGTGGTGAATGTATCTTTATATTATGTGAAAGTTACGTTTTTGCGAATGTGGTAAAGATTACAACATGTCAACGTGTGCCTTCACCAGTTTCTGTGAAGGCGATCATCTTTCCACACCTTCGCACAACATAAGGAGTACCCTCACACATATTAGTGAAGGTTACATTATATTATGTGAAGGTAGATCTTTTCACAATTCTCACTGAAAATGACATCTCTCATAGTAACCCAACCCTATTCCCCTTGCCTTTATAATTATATCACATCCAATCCTTGAATATAAAAGAAAAGAAAGTTAATTTCCTCCACTAGATTGCATGAAACTTCAGTCTCATTATTAATCAACTGGTCTTTGATGACAACATGAGTAATACGTTAATTAATTATTCTTGTTACTATTTTGGAAGTAATAGACGTAAAAACTAACTTAGCATAATAAATTAAAAAAAGACAAAATTGATATGCATGTCCACGTAAAATCAAAATAGAACCTTGAAATCAAAATAACACAACTTTAAGTAAAAATAATCTCATTGGTGAACTTCATTTGATCACTATATATAATATGGTGAGTAACCAACGAAATGAAATAAACAATTACCCACAAAAAGGGGAAAAAAAGGAAAAGTTGTTTATATATCATTTCATATGCTAAAGTCATTGGGAAATCAGCAACAATACATTATTGTAAGCCATCTGCAAAAACTTTTTTGCCCATGTTGAAGTAAATTACTTTGCATTTCAAGGATAAAAATACTGGATAACCATAATTTGATATTTTCTTATCACTAAAAAGATCCAACAGACCAAATTCAATATTTTGTATTTACAGTTCACCTTGGTTGCTTCAGATCGCTAAAATTGCACATGGTCATCATGAAACAATTATTGATAGTAATTGAGTGTGCCCAATGAATTATCCTGAATTTCGAGAAGTAACCACGAGCCATGGATTAACTGTACATAATAATAAAGTAGATATGATTTCTTGATTACTGTCACCATCTATCATTATTAACAAAACAAAATCATTCATTTAACCATTTCACTTGAACTTAATAACCTGTAATTAACACCAAAATATTTATATCCTTTTGCGTTGTATGTTCAGTTTCAACATTTTCTGGTGCAAAATTTGAACATCATTTGGATACAATTGAATATATAGATCCTTGATCAATTAGCTATTACACTTGATCTGGATCTACATACAAGACAAACTGAACTCCTCTTCTATGTATAAAACAACCAGGCTAGATCCTAAAATAGAGTAATTCTCCTGGGTGTAGAAATCATTGGTGTCATAAGTTCACTTCAAGAGCCCAATTCAATAATGTGATTTTGACTTTGAATACAACTTGAGACCAGCAAGAGTATATGTTGCTAATTTGCAATTTGTTTCATGATATTTGCTTTCAACTTAATCATGATAGGAAATGGAAGAGCCTAGTCGCAGCATGAAACAACATCAGCAACCATGTCCTTATTATAGTGATTCTGTAGATTCATTTTCTTCAGAAAGGTTCAAAGGTTATCCCAATATGGTTACAGTAAACCAATCTATTCAAGTATCCTCAATCAATGGAGATCAAGACAAGCAACAAGATTATAGACCAACTAAGAGTAGTCCGTTTTCTCCAAGCTATGGTTCCTTATCCAACACTTTTACAATATCTTTCGGAGACCCTACATCACCTCAAGAGACTAACCCATATCAATTCTACCGAGGATCCAAACTGAAATACCTTGATGCAGTGACACCTAAAGAGGAGAAGAATCTCAACGATTTTCTTGGATCCGTTGAGGTTACCGGAAGGGTTCGGAGCACAAGAAGAAATCATAGACAAGCTCAAGAACATGTCTTGGCAGAGAGGAAACGAAGAGAAAAGTTGGCTCAACGCTTCATTTCTTTGTCTGCTCTCCTTCCTGGACTTAAAAAGGTACTAACTGGCATGCAACTACGTTTTCTAGATTTAATGTGGAGAAACACTTTATCTTGATTATAGGGTTCACATTAAAATTCCGGAAGTTCATTACATGACACAGATTCACAGGTGCATAAGAAATAACCTAAACTCCAACCACTTACAGGAAAGTGAATCACTGATAAACTCTGAAGTAAAACTCAAAACCAATTAGTTACATGTACATGCAGCTCAGGATCATGTATCATGTATATACATGATCATTAATCTCGACATAGTTTTAACAGCAAAACTAGCTTTATATTTCTACTTCAGCATGGCCATCTCAGTTTGTACGTTTTTGATAACTGACCATTATTGTAGATGGATAAGGCTTCTGTGTTGGAAGATGCAAGTAAGTACATAGTGCAACTTCAAACCCGGGTGAAGGAACTCCAAGAAACATCAGTGAAGGGAAAAGATATCATCCATGAATCAGTTGTTCCTATAAGGAGATCCAAGTTTAGTGGTCGTCATGAAGACAATGGTGCATCTTCTTCTAATGACACTAACTATTTACCTAGTAGCAGCACTTACAATCCGGAGATCAAAGCAAGAACTTCTGGAAGCAAAATACTTGTAAGAATCTTCTGTGGGAGAAGTTCCGCACTAGTATTGAAAACCCTAGCTGAGATGCAGAGACTTCACATTACCATCATTTGTTGCAGCGTTCTTCCCTTCTCCAACACTACTCAGTTAATTACCATCACGGCTCAGGTATTTCAGTATATAGTTAATTACTAGATAAATTTGGTATTGGAGATAATAGTTTGACGTGAACATGTTTTGAGTTATTTGCTTGCTAGCTTTAGGCTGAAATTTTCTGCTGTTTTTTCTTGTTTTTCTGCAGATGAGTGATGAGATGGTCATAACGAGGAAGTATATCGTGAAATGCCTGAAATTAGCTCTTAGTAAATTCCCGTGACATGTACTTAATTTGAAGATTCCTTGAAGAGGACTGAAGGTGCAATGGTTCACCTGACCTCCCTTTTTCCATGTATTATTTGTTAAAATCTAATAGTCTCATAAATGGGATTTTTTCTATTTAAGTGGTATGCAGTAGGGAAAAAGAGGATTTCGCATGCAGCAAGATTCTGGTTCATTGACGCTTCAAACATCTTAGCAAGATCATTTCGTGCATTATATAGCTTAGGGAATTTATATAGTAAATTACTATATGCAACTACGAAAAAAATACCTTTGTGATGACAAAAGCCATTGATGTATATTACAAAATCGATGAGTAGACCTACTGTGACGGTTGTTATTGCTATAGGATTTGTTGTAACCATTTCTTATTTGTAGCCTGTTGGAGCTATACTTGTCGTCGCAGTCTGTGGTAAACTATTGCGACGACAATGCGTCCTCATATATGTAAAGTTGAAATAATTTAAATTATTTGTAATATTGCAGCAACTTGTAGTTGCTATGGGTTGCTAAAAGGTATTCGTATCCTTTTGCGGTGACATGTCCATATAGGTTGAAATCTAGAAAACATGTTATCTATTGCGACAACATGCTGTCACAAGAAACAAATATTTTCTTTGAATAACCTATAGCGACTACATGTTGCAGTAAGTCACAAAGTTTTCCATTAAATTAAATTGGTTTAATATCAATTAATTTGATTTAGAAATAAATAAATAAAGTTTTTTAATTACTAAACAACAATTAATCATAATATGAAGCAGATAACTTACTTGATGTATTAATGTCTAAATACATATTAATAATTGTCTTCGGGTCATCATCATCATCAGGGTTTTGTGGTGGTTGTTGCAATGGTGCCATGGCTAATGCTATTATCAATCGTGTATTGATGGTGATCGGTGTGAATTCCGTAATAGGCATCCTGTGGAGTGTCAAACAAATTCACCTGGTATTGCTAAGGACTAGAATTAAATTGCTTGACAATTAATCCTCTATATCATGTCAACAAGCACTATTTTCGGTAGCGCCATGGTTAGAAGGTAAACATAAATGAGTTAGAAGGTGTGGTGTGCATATTTACAAATGTTGTCTTTCTCATCTTAGATAGCTACAAAGGCAAGGGTCAAAGAGGTCGTGCCCCCTTGCGAGGCTTTAGAGGCAGTGCCCAAGGGCTAGACTTAAAAGAATTTTAGTTTCATGATGATTCGAACGAATTTACAGATGGTTGCATATGTTCTTGAAATTGTTCTCGAATTTGGTAGAAATTTAACAGTCTGGATCAGAGATAGAGCAATCACAACTCTGGATCGTGGAACCAGAGTTTTTGATGTAAATACTCTTAAAACCTTATTCAATAACGGTTATAACAGTTTCAACTGCCCGTAACCGTCGATCTCTCAAATAAATGTGTAAACAAGAATCCAGGTGTATGTAAGAACTCAATCTACAACCTTTAAAATGAGAGTTTCTCTTGGATTAGTCCAGTACGAAATTCGTGATTCCTAAGACATTAAGGGACGAATTATTGTATTTGGAAAGTGAATTTTCACGATCCAACAAGATTATCTGATCCATTAATTATCTCAAATCCCCAATTCCTAACAAAATGTCTAGATACCCTCTGTGTTTATGGAGTAGATAGAATCTTGCTTGACTTTTAGTAACAAAACCATGGATATGCAAGGTATTCAAAAGTAGGTTCATCATAACAAAAAAAACAACTTCATCAAATAAGTATAAAAAAGGAAAACTAAACCTAAAAGATAATAAATAGCTAGAAGAATTTAAATCAAGAATCAGCAAACCATTAGAGAGTGAATAGTGTATTGGTTGCATTACCTGAGAATGATCGAGAAATCAGAAAATTGGAAGATTTAGATCGGTTGCCATCCATAGAAGTGTTACAACAACGACCTATCTCGTCATGATGGGTCTATCATCGGGGGATACTACAAGAAAGAAGGGTTACAACAACGACCTATGTCATCACGATAGGCCATAAGTTGTCGGTGTACATCCATTGGAAAAAATAAAATCATCAGGCCTTCTTTTTTCCTACCATTTTATCCTACCATCCAAAAGAATATATCAATCAAGTTTTGGCGGTAATGTTCCCTCCAAATATCCTGTTTATAACAATGATATGTCATCTTTATATATTGATCTGAACTTGACCCCCTTTAGCGGCACATTGTTTTAGGGAAAATCCTACTGGTAGTGCGATGACGGTCATCACTATACATAGGTGGAAACATTTTCCAAACTAATTATACTATTGCTATTTCTTTTGGTTTTTTAAAGAGGATTCTTTATAATAAGGAAAGAAAACCCTATTGAAAACCGTGGCACCATTGGTTTGTGAAAATTTTCGTCTTTGACGGTTAGTTTCCCTCGATTCTATTTGTGGGATTAGTTTCCTCAAGTCTATTTTTGGCATTTTGTGACGACCTACCATCGCTATAGACTTGATTGATATTCATAAATTAGAAGTTCACTATAGACGATAGCTCTCTACACCGACAAATGCTAAGTCATCATTACAGCTCTCGTTACTATAGATGTCTTTTCAGTTCCAAAAGTATGACTAGTAAATGTAAAATAATTCATGTTAAATTATCATATACGATTTCAAATCATGCATATATGTTCTTGTAATGTAACATGATGGTAAGTTAATAACTATACATATAGGCTGCATTAATTAACATATCAAAGCCATTTTGTGTAATTAACATAATATTCTAAGGTGCATTAGTTGTCAGATAACAAAGGTTTTACTGCATATAGATATACTTTAATTTCCAATATCTTAAAAAATCAAGCAATTATGATCAAATACCTGAATAGAAATCTTAAAGTCGTGATCCATGTTCAGCAAAAATGTCATTTTAATATGAACCCTTCTCATTGGAAAATTAACAAAAAAGGGCATAGTCCATGAGATTAATATGAGGTGCGTGAAAATTGATCAGTTATCCAAATAAAAGTCATGTCCTAAAGTGATATTCTTCCATCAAAAGCTATTTTGACATTTGACAAACTTGCCCTTATGCTACTTAATTTGCGATCCTTTGGATTTGATTTCATGGGAGAGATTCATATATGGTAACCTTAGTATTTTTGTACATATTTACTTTCAAATGGATGAAGGACACGGCAAGCAATGAACGTCTTGACTTGGATGAATGTAAAATTTTAAATTCAGGGTAGGGTTGGCTACTTCGCTCGGCCTTGCATCTAGATTATCAGTGAAACCAAAATTAGTGACTGTCAACTCTGTATTACCGTTTTCCTAATTTTGAGTTGTAACCTACATAAATAATCAACTTGATTTCACTGTTACCAGTAAAACAAGAATTATGAAAAATGCTATAATATAGTATTAAAATAAAAGTTATTATAAAACACAAACAAAATATATATAGTCAGTCATCAGTCGGTCACTCTACCAATGAGCTATGTGGAACAAAGGAAGCCGACTCCCGTTCCTAAGACGAACCTATGACCAAACAAAAAGGAGTTTGTCATGTTGAAGGAAGTGATATGAAACCATAAAACTACGTACTTAAACCAAAAGAAGAATTGATCAAAGTTGTAGATGTTCGTGAGGAGGCTCATGAGGATATCCATGAAGTGCCATTTTTGTCCAAACTTCCAATTTGATTCCATGGCCACAACAAAAACCTTTTTCACATATGGCACGATCATGTTGTGTATAAAGGCATGATGGATAAATTTGAACTTCCATGTTTTTAGCAATCTAATCATGTTGGGTTTCTTCCGTTTCTCAAGTATACGATGTACCTCTTTAATTCTCTTTTGAAAGAAAACAAATTTGAAAGAGAGAGAGAGAGAGAGAGACATAGAAAAGCTTAGCATTAGCTTTCATAGTTTGAAAAACAAGAGCTTTTTTTTTTTTTTGCAAATAATTGATTAAGTTAAGTCTAGTCACGAACATAGAACTTCAATTGCATTAATATAGGCCAAGCACCAACCCTAACTAATAGCCGGAAGCCTGACCATAAAAGCTAGATTACATGTAACAATCCCATAATGCAAACCAATTAATTTGGTGATTGATTGATGCATTACTTGCTACTTAATTGGAATTACGGATTCTAATCACATCTAGCAAATTAAATTTAGACTTTAGGATTCAAGGGATCCTTTTTGAAACCAAAAAAAACCCAAAAATGAAGGACGCATTTGAACAATAATTGATTACATAAATGAAATTCAATTGATATTGAAACATAAATTAAATCTCAACAAGATTCAAAGTAAACTAGTTATAATCTCATCACTAAAAATTAGAGATTTAACTACTCATAATCCTATTTTGAAGCACGTATTAAACTTAATATGGTAGAAATTTGGAAATTGATGAAGAACCCTAGTTAAGAAATACAAAATTGACTACAATGCTCCCCAAAAATCTGAAAATCGATCAATTCCCCTTCGTTAACTGTTACCCTCTTGATGATTTTATGTCTCTGGCTTGAGAAAACTGCTTGAAGAAAAAAGTAGCCTACTCGATTTTGACGTAGGCAAATTGCTGTGAGACTTTTGTCGCACCAGGAGCTTCCGCATCTGAAATATGCACCAATATACAGTGTCTGAAAAGTCGCCCAGCTCTGAAATACCCCCGAAACAGTGTCTAAGGCGAGTTTTGAAGCATTTAAATCTGCCGGAAAAGTCGTCTGGCTCTAGAATACCATGGAAACAGTGTCTAAGGAGGCGGCTTTGGCCACTGGAGAAGACGCCGACGATGGTGTCATGATCTCAACCTGGACAGCTTCTGGTCTGGTCTTCTTTTCTTTCTTTTATTATCTTTATGGGTTGCGTGGCGTAGACTTGGTGCCAACAAAGGTAACACAAATCACATTTAGATGGGATATTTTAAGGATCAAAATCACTATAAAACAAGGGTATTTCTTAATTAATATGTGTGCCAAGTAATATTTATCAAGTTATTACAATTTGCATTGCTCATATTTTGTTCTGTATTTTCGATCCAATTATGTACGTTCTGTAGTTGTGTTTTGGTAAAGATCACGTAATTGTGTTGTTTTCAATTAAAGCTTGTCACTTTCTTGTTCGGGTCAGGTGACCTAATCCCAACATGTCACCCTCACATGTTAGGAATAAGGTGGGGGCCAAATCGTATGCTGAGGCGATAAGAGGGGCTGGTCGATGGATGGGGAAACCGTCGAATGAGGGGGTTACGGGGGATATAGTTGAGGGCGAGAAGAGGTTGGAGCTGTTCCCTTCGTCAGATATGCTAACCAGACTAGAATCTGCGCTTATCGGGGAACTGAAAAGCTACAAAGCTCTCAAGATGATCGGGTCTTTGTCGAGTATGGAAGGGTGGGTAGGAATCCGGTTTAGCTACCTTGGGGGCCTATCGTTGTTGCTAAAGTTTGCTGCGATCGACGGTGCTCGATGTGAAAAGGCTG